CATAATCGTCTTCGTCATGAATTTACATAATATCGACTTCCGCGATAGAAACCACATGCCGCATGTCTTTTATTGCCCTTTACTACAAGTGAAGATTTAATCCCAACGTAAGTATAATTATGGTCGCCACCATAATGATATATAATCTCTGTGCTTTCACCGACAATGGTTAGAGAGGATATGAGATTCTCTACTCTCTACATCAACTAAACTCTTATTCTTCCTACAATCGTCATTCTTTTAATCATTGACGTTTCCTCTTGATTTTTCGATAAGCAATACTAATATCAAATATCTTTTATCCCCCCATTACTTTGGACTAGATTCAATTCCTAACCCACACCTAATCATAATTTGTTCCAAGAGGCAGTTACTTTGTATAGACGTTTCTCCCGCAATTTCTTACTGCATATCAGTTGTACTCTTTTCTTCAACAGCCGCTCTAATGGTCACACAACCGCGAATCTTTTCACCATGACATATAACCTTATTGCTTTCACTGGAACGTTGCTACTGGACATGCACTTCAAACGTCTAAGTCTAAATAAATTTTTATCATTACGCTGTCATAACTCTCTTCGCCATGACATTGTGCAAGCTCAATGTTTCCACTGACGCCGTTTCTACGGCTAAGTCTACATTGCTTTTTGAGTCACGTCTTAATTGCCACTTAATCGTAGTTCACTGTATAAACATGATATTATGATGCCTTCGTTGGGTTGCTCTTACTTGACTCCTCTGTCCCTCGTTTATTTTCAGGCCAATGCTAATCACTGTGATCATAATCCCTGTAATCGCAATACATCTATCAGATATTTTATATCCCTCCATATTTTTTGCCAGTTCTTATCAATGCATCGGATACACCTGGATACCACTAGGAGAGGAGCGATTAGAAAAATTCCTTAGGATATGAACAGAAACTTGACATTAAAGAAGTTTCCATACTTAACTCTGAAAAAGACAGGCTTGGACTCATCGCTAAAAAGTCGCGCATATTTCGCTCGACAAAAAAACGTTGACTAAATCAATTGTCATGTTCTGTACGGAAGCCCTTAAGAAACTGAAGCTTCAATACTCCTATCTGCCCATTCCTCAAATTTCAAACCTGCTCCACCCCCCTCCCTCTGGCCAGCATCCACCATATGTCACTTCACAATCGTTCTCTTTTTTTCATTTCTGTTACAAATTTCAAGCAGTTTACTTCTTAAGTTATTGGCAGTTTGTAATTTTTTTCACTTTATTACCTCAGTTGCTACTGCAATAATATCGTTTGTGAACAACCCTGAGAACGACTGCGCACTTAAAGCCGAAACGATCAAATGAAGGAGCAAAATTGTACCGCGCCTTAAGTCACTGTATAGCTGAAATGAGAAACAGTCTCAAACCTCGATTTCTAGATAAAATAAAGCCGAGGAGGCTACCTGACATTCGTATCAGAAACTGATCATCAGAGCTGTTGCTGGTGTCAGCGGTGTTCATCTGCCACTGACGCCAATCCGTATCATTTCGGCCGCATTCCACAGACGATTCCGAAAATGCCCAGTTGAACAAGTGCCACCCGCTTTGATCCAGCAGATCTAAAGTAAAAGTAGTTTATAAAAGCTGATAATAATCGATACCAATCACTTCATGATTATGTTCTAAAGCAAAGGCGAAGTAGCGGAATTGGTCAAGATGTGTATTCAGCCTGGCTTTCCCGTATTCATTTCTTAACCTAACCTGTCAGGTCCAATAACCGTTCTAACAGAGCTACATTTACAATGGAAAAACGCAGCACAAAATCGATACAAAATCTACACACAACGCAATACTGCGGTCTATTGCGCGACTGATTTATATCAACCCTTCGATCTGCACTTCACGTGCCTCATCCAACGTACACCTGGTGGTGAAAACTGGTCACTGTTTAGACCACAAGCAGCAGCGGGTTCATTTTCAATTATGAGTGGAGCTGTTAATTCGCACTGCTTCAAGTACCCTATCTGAACGCCGTTGCCGTAGATATCCTGACAAAAACGATTTCTGCAACCAGATTTTCCTTGAAGCAGCCAGTAAAGTAACACCCGAAACATCAAACATCGGTCGGTCGATCATCGGAGAGGCCATTGTCTTGCCCACTGTAAAAGTAAGCCATTTGGTGCCGTTGTTATAGTATGATTGCAACTCATCAACAAAATATGATCTACATAACATGCACTCTTATCAGACACAGTACAAGCTGATGGTACTTATATCTGCTACTATGTACTGAACCTAAACTCCGACTAATTGAGAGAGAAAACATCATGGCCCGCTTCCTCAGAAATTTGCGAATTTCTTCCAGTGTACCAGGGAAAAAAGCTATGGATAGCGTGTTGATAATACAAAGTCTAACAAAATAAAAATATGTTAATGCAATATATAAGCGACGTACGCCGCAAAACAGTTATCTATCAAAAATCACATAACACTGCAAAAAGCAACATTTTAATATCTACCAGAATGCGTCATCTTTCTGTACAGTCAAAAGCGGGACAAACTTGCAGTTTCCATTCTACGGTGTTAAGGGTAGGCAAGTAGTTGTTGATGGGTAAATAAAAAACAAATTTCACATGGCTAACGGTATCGAAGGAACTCATACATCTATGAGTAAGATCACGGAAATCAAAATACTCTGAATGCTGCGAAAATATAAGACGGGCTTCTACGGCGAGGACAACGTTCTACTGTTACTCTGATAAGAAAGCCTGTCAAAACTGAAACAGTAGAAAGAACTAAATACACGGTCACTCTCCTGCCATTTAACACTCGTTACGTGTCGAAACTAGCGCTGATGTAAGCTACTCAATCGTCGCTTCTGGTCCTTGGTTAGAATGGCGATTTTCATGCTGCACATGAACAATAATCAGACTGGTGTAACGCAAATCTATAGGGAAATTAGTTCTTTTCACAGACGCAATATTGTACAAGTCACCGAACGCATTTAAAAAACGAAAGAAAAAGCAACGCAATCATCCCATTTAACTATGAGTGGATGGCGCCATCTTGGACACAATGGATTTGGTACGCCTAAATTGGACAACCTGTTAAACCGTTTGTATATCTGCTACGCTAGACGACTCTGTTTAATAATTTTCGACTTATGGGAGTTAACAAAGAGGCCGCACGCATAAATCATCAAGTGACAAATCCAGTACCTGGAACTACTTAAGAAGAACAATAACGCACTCAATGTTAAGAGGCAGAGTGAAACCCTCTTCTCTGTTAGGATCAGAACTGTTTTACAGGGCAAAGTCGATAACAGAGTAGATTAGCGATCGCAGAAATTCATGCTGTTAAATTAACAATTAACAGAAAGTCAATTAGGTAGCGCTGTTTCGAATTTAACAGAAGATACAGTTCCTGGAAACGAATCTTATAAAATGGAACCGATGTACTCAGGCATTCTATAGAATTTCCAAATCTGCAACATCATCTGACGATTTACTAAATCAAATGCAGAATTTAAGTCAGTGAAAATAGCGAATGAAGGCTCATCGCTCCTTCGATGGGTCTGAGCTATGGTTCATTATCTTACTCCGCTACCTTTGTTTTTCACTGATTTCACTTTCTTCATCCCTTAATCATTAATGCTAGCTACTTCCAGAATAACCCACTGCTTCAAGCTCATTTTCTCCTGCCTCATAGATCTTCTGTCTACGTGTCTAGAACCAGCAACAAGGAGTGCTCCGCCGTAACCGATCCAAAGGCCGGATGAAAAGCCACAAAGTTTAGGTTCCGTGGCGATGTCTCTCGCAAAACTTAGCCGCCTATTCATCACGCTGCTGCCGTTATCTAACTACGCTACGATTATCAAGGGCTTCTGGGGAACCGAGCAGAAACAACTCCACGCTTGCTGCCACCTGTGGCACAGCAAAACGGCAATGGCTGCTGATGCGCCACAAGGACAAGACGAAAATACCGCTCCACACTTAAGCCCCTATCAGTTCTGAACGGTGGAGATGGACAGCGGAATGCCATTATAGAACCTCAGATATGCTTCCACGGGAATCACACTAACACCACGTTTGTGCTCACAGTCACAAACAGGGAAACTTCAAACTTCTATGAAATTGGCTGGAAGGCTATAGCTGGAAGAGATAACTTGCAGCTTCACAGTTCAATGTCAAGATTTCTATGCCAATGAATGGCCACTTAGGTAGCATTCTGGACATCAGTTATGCTGCCGTCGAACTTCCGCAAAGGGCATTCGGAACGGTGCTGCCTGCTCTGATTGTCATGACCGTAGTCACACTGCGCGCTGCACTTCATCTTCCAGCAATGAAGTAGGTGTCCACAGCGTCCTTGTACTGCTTGAATCCTATTTAATCTCGACCATTCTTTGCGATTCAAGTCCATGCCAGAGAATTCTGTGGTCGGGTGGGGAGATTAGGTGTTTGTTTTGGACAACTGTAGCGCCCCAATCTGCTCGCCACCGTTCCTCAAGACTCCGACGCGGTGTCGTCGCTCGTTACCATGATGGGTGGCATGATTTCAGGCCTCAAGCTGGTTGCTATTGGAGAACATAATGGATGGGAAACTGGCGATTCCTAACAATGTTCTGGAAAATGCGACACGCCCGCTTACCCCTAGGGAGGTGAGGAGATTCAAGATGCGCCAGAATTGGTAACCACTCTGTTTGGGTTGGCTTCAGGGTTCCTGCTACTATTCGCATCGCTTCACTGAACTGCGTGTCCAATTTGCTCGTGTGGCAGCTGTGGCATCAAATAGGGGAACAATACTACGCGACAGAATACAGAAGCGCGAAGGCAGTAGTACGCAGCACGCGGGCACCTGCTCCCCAAGAGGTGCCGGCAAATTCTCGTAACAAGTTTATTCTCGTCTTGATCTGCCGCGTCGTTTTCAGACGTGGCTTAAACGTGAAGGTCTGATTAAGAGTGATGCCCAGATATTCTGGAATCATTTCGTGCTGCCCGTGTTGACCACAAAACTCAACTGTGAGTTTCTCCATGACTAGTCAATTCTTCACGTGGAAAACCGTCGCGCAAGACTTCGTCGGGTTTGAGTGTAGCTTCACTGGTGAATACATTCCGTCATAACAGCGAGGTCAGAGGTGAGTATGCAGCTTAGCATTTGCATGTCGGTAAGTTCGATTGCTAGCGCGATATCATCGGCATGAATGAACTTCTTCGATGCTGCTGGTGGGAAGTCGCTGGTATAGATGTTAAACAGCGATGGAGAAGTACTACACCTTGTTGGAGTCCGATGTTAAGGATCCTTTCCTTGCTGACCCTCCCATCGATGTGGAGCCGGTACCGACGATCGATCATCGGTTTTACAAGTACTTTGTGGACGTAGAGAAAGGCTGTTACCAAATCCCATTCAACGAGCACTGAGCGTGTATGGAAGCATACGAGATCGATGGCTAATTGCTACGGGCCATCTAATCACTATAAACTGATAGCAGGTGCTGCGTCAGAGCAAATGGCGTTAAAGTTGACGCCTTTCAGCGTTGGCACTGGTCTCCGCCAAAGCTGCGTCATGTCCCCCATCCTGCTTGTGTTGTACATGGATAGAATAGTCAGGAGCAGACAAGGCGATGCGTCTATCGGTGTAGAGGATGTCAAGACGAGAAGGCTTCTGTTTGCAGACGACCTTGTTCTATTGGCATCTTCTGAAAATGATCTACAGTGCTCCCTGGAAAGGTTCGCAGCCGAGTGTGACGTGACCGGCGTATGTATGAACGAATATAAAACGAAAAATCTAGTGCTTTCTCATTTTCCTGCTCGTTGCTCTCTTCAGATTAACCGAGAAACAGCGAAACAGGTGGAGAAGTAGAAGTACCTCGGCGTCGTGTTTACTGGTGCTGGGAAATTTGAGGAAGAGATCGACCGGCGGACTGGAGTAGCCAGTGGCATTCTGCGTATATAAGCTAGAACCTTGTGAGTCTGAAGAATAAGCTGTCTAGGTTAAAGTCCGTCTTCATGCCCATGCTCATTTACTGTGATGACTGAAGGACCTCGCTTCCATGTAGATGTGGCTGATTTGGGCTTTCTGAATCGGATTCCTAGAATAACACATCGACAAAAGTCCTTAGTTCATATATCCGAAAGAAGTTGGATATACAGCTACCGCTTCTTCAGACTGATAAGTCACAGCTGCGATCGTTTACACACTTCCTTCCAGTGATTAAAGAAAGCAAGACGAAAAAGTTATTACTTGCCCATTACGGGGGACGGTTAAAAATATCTTTGGGCAAGTGCATGGAAGAACTCTGCTACAGACTCAAGTTATCTTCTGCGGAAATGCTTCAACAGGATCGGGAACGTTGGCGACACTGTCCGATGAGTTTGCTTTTCCGATCCGAAAGAATAAGCGGTCATCGAAACTGACTAGCTGATAAACAACAAATCCAATATAATTGAAGCTGGGCTTACGGAATCACGGTTACGAAGTCAGCAGATCAATTTCTGGCAGGGCGATGCGTGTGAAAGGTTGCACCGCTTTCAACGCTGTCGTGCGTCGTACATAGTGAAGAAAAGATCTTTGTTAAAAACTGAGTCAAATCTGAATATGCTTGAAGGCGAGGTAAGTTTTATATTTGATGGAAAAAAACGTGTTCTTCAGTGAATGATGGTCAGATTATCAATTTGTTGAGAGAGGACAGTTTTGATAAGTTCATGTATGAAACAGGACTGCTTTGACGTACACGTTTATGAAAAAGGTCTGCATAATACGTCGCCTTCCAAGCGACTGCATGGCATGAGGCTATATTCCAACAAACGATGCTACGACGATTGCCTCGTCCGAAATCCGCCGAAGAAACGGATTAGTAATGGTGTAGTGTTCGTTTGATATAATAAAATGAGACGCAGAGCAAGATGTCAGACGGTTTGATGCGTCAAGAAAATATTTCAAATATTGCTTAAAGGAAGATGCAGATGTCTGATATGGACTTTCTCGTCAGATAACGCGAGTGCTAAATCACAAGAGAAATTTAGTGAAAATATAGTTTAAAAAAATTTTGTGATTAAGATTTGCTGGTTTTGCGACGCAGCTCTGTCCGTCCGCCATCCCAGAACCAAAGATATGGACTTGACTTTTTGATGAGTCGGATTTGGAAAAAAACGACATATTTCTTGGCACCATTTGCCACTGCTTCCTGTCCTAGGCAGAATCTGATATTATCGCAAGCAAATCTTCGTGCAAAGCCAAGCTAAATCAGCGATTTATCAATAAGTCGACTCAGCTTCTTCGTTGTCAGTTCGTCTGTGATTCGTTCCAATGACGAATCTTCGGCTTGCTTCACAGTCTTCTCCAAAATGGATTCGGTATATAAGAATCGTAACATTTATGGGATCGTCATTGTGTGGGTGAAGAGGAAAAGTTTTAGACACACTATAACTCCACTACTCAGGATTAACTACAATAAACGGCAGCTTTCCAATTCTGAACGTAATTATATCATTTCAGCTAATAATACCGGATTTACGCAGAATAAGCGCACCGCACCCATGCTTCTAACTGCCTAGTCATAGAAGGGGGCACTTCAGCAGGCCACGGTTACATAGTATTTGAGCACATGCAGTACAGCCGATGTCGTACAGAAGAAGTTTTGAGCTGAAATAAATAAAAGCGCATTCCAGCACTAACTAAATCTACCATTATCCGTAGGCAAATATATCATAGCAGATCAATCATGATCCAGCTGCTCTGTGGTAGCTATTACAAACCATAACTTTTTGCCTATGGAATGTGAACTCGCCCAACTCAGACAGACAATGCTACATCCGTTGTACTGCAGGTATTCAACCCCTCCCCCAGGTGTCTGTAAAAAGCGGACGCTGCGCTGATGCGGTGCAACTCCGGCACAATGAACTGAAATGAATGAATGACGATTGAGTTCCATCGTTTCGTCAAAGCGAAAATTTCCAATGGTCCTTATTCAACAATCCTCAAGCGTCTCTCGAGCCAATTAACATTCGTGGCATTGCCAGTTAGTCTGTAACCCTAAATTTTGTGCAAGCAGGAATGCTTAAACACATTCAGCGTTCCTTGTTGTTAAGGGATGACATTGTTGAGGCATTCGTCAGTACAGGCCGAATAGCTATTACATATACAGGAAATTTCACCGACATACTGGCAGCGGTTTTCCATAATTTTCTCTGACTGAGTGAGATTTACAACATCCCTCTTTAAACTGAACTTGCAAGAATTCCTGATGATGTGTCATCAGCCATAAGCTTTTCAGTTTCCCTAGGCTATATCCTAGAGGAAGATCTAGGTGACTACAATGACGTGTAACGTACTGTTTCGTTATCATGTAGTGGTATTTATTTATTTACCACGAAGGGCAAAATGACTCTTGGGAGAACGCAGAATTTTTCGATCGCTGAGCCCGCGCAACCGCGGTCAAGGATTGACAGAGGGTTCCAAGAACTGCCGAGGCACTCGGCACTTCACTCGACCATCATCGTTTCTTCACTGTCATATGACACAGGGCGAGGTATGTGAGAGAAGTGCAGTAGTAGCCAACGAAGTAGCTGATTGTATGAAGTAGGTAATTGCCTCAAAACATTGCGGCGACGAAGAGACGTGAAACAAGCCGGCGGTTATGAACGAAAATTACAAATAATCTGCGCGATATACTTAGGTATCAGTAACTGGTTTGGCGAAAGTCTGCGATTTCGTTCCTTCATTTGTCTACCGTCATTCGATTCAATATGGACGTGGTTGAATTTACGGCGCTCACCTTGCCGCTACACTACGACGGTGCCCGTAAAAAGCGGCGACCTACATCGATTGTAGTCAAAGTCGCCAAAATCGCGTTATTATAAGAGGCGACCGAAAACATCGCATAATCGGTCATTTCAATGAGGATCTCAAATCAATCAAAAAGTTGACCACCATTGACGTTGTTCAGGAGCAGATATTTGCCAGACATCGAAACGTGCTCAAGCTCAAACTAAAACTCAGTGTCCTCCCCACGCGAGGCCGAATGTAAACCTCACAGAAGTAGTCCGAAAGAAAATTTCGAAGGTACGCGGCGCACTTACACTGAACGCGGCCTTCAACAACCGACGACAATCACAGATTAGTATGCGAAAGCACAGCAGACCAGCATGACGCACAAGTCGTACGCTTTCGAGACACATGCACTCGAAGATGGCACCATCGAAACGTCGCAATACACCACTAACATGCTCAATCACCTGTCATATTGACGTGGCACACGCCCAAAGAGCGATTCCGTACCAACAACTGCAGCGGCAAAGCAACGTCGCAAACGCCGGTGGTATTTGCCAGCCCAGGTCCGGGTTCGGATCCCGATCCGGGTCCCGATCGGACGTCTGGTGCAGGCCTAATCCATAACTGTCCGTAAACGGGAAGGTGAGATCTGCTGAACGAAATCTGCCCGTAACAATCCGACGACGATCGTGATGACAAAGCACGCTTAGAACCGACTATCGGAAAAGTCAGCGCAGCCACACCTAAATAGCAGGCTACAGAGTACGTTACACGCATCGCCTCATACAATACCTCGTACCGAACCTTAATATGAATAATTGACATTTACCGACGAAGAAAATGCACCGACCACTTGTCGTTTAAGTTACAGAAACTTTTACTTCGAAACATGACTCATTAGCCATCGTGCAGGATTTAGTACATGAGCAGCCATGCAATTAACCAGCTGAACAAATTGAACAAATGAAGTTCAATGCGAAGAGCGTGAAGGAAACGCTCAGAAACGATTATCGACAAGACCCGACTGACGAACGGATCGAGTCCGCTGAAACGGAGCGAAACCAGATATTCCCATAGAAAAGAAAAGTTGGAACTCAAAACAAAATCTGCATACCATCGTTCATCATTTACGTACGTTACATTCATTAATCGACAAGCAACATTTTCTACGATACCTAGCAAAATCGTCGTCAAGACGTAGCACAATGCCATCGTACACATCAGAGAGCGGAAGACTATGTGAAAGATCATGTGAATGCCTGACTGATTCGAAAACGACCAAGGCAAAAACCGTTTCTTGTCCATCTTGAGGGCATCTTGTAGTGAAAAAACACAGGAAGGTCAGAAACAAACCTTCTACCGTAAGTTACCTGGCATCAATATTGGCGTAAATTACGGGAATGCCGTAGATACAGTAAATCAATTCGACATGTAGGTTTAATAACAAAGCCTGAGGCAAAAGCTTCTACAGTAGTCAGGTTCACCAGTTACTAAATTGTACTATAATCTTTTCGAAATTTGTGTTCAAACGCACATATAAAATAAATAATTCCATCTTTCTGTTAGCCATCATTTTCTCAAGGCAAAATGTAGTCATAAATTGCACACGGCACATTGCATAGCTTTATATATTGATCTGATGCTCTGGGTGATCACCCTTCATAGCACTTTATTGTCTCCCACCATACAAACGTCACTGACTCTTACAACGTTTCGCGACTTGCTACACGGAAGCGCAGTTGGAATCGCTTTGTTTGCACGAATTTGCAGTTATATTAAAAAGAAGTTTACGTCATGCACCTGATTCAAACTCTAGGCAGCCTACATGTTCTTAACAGCACAAACATCCCTTACTAGATTACCTTGTTAACGTGATACAATGTTTGGTAATGAGTACAGCCACAAACAATACGTGTAAAATGCAATTAATTCTTACGCAATATAACATTGGTTGCAACGATATTTTAGTAACGCAATAATAGTTTGTGCCAGTTATCTCGGAGGCTATACAGAGATAGTTCGGGTTTAGAATACATTAATCTGTATGGAAGCTGCAGTTCAAAAAATGTCTACTTTTGTGACAGTAAAAGAAATAACTTCCAGAAGACATTTTGAAGTCATTGAGTTCGTAGTAAATTTGAATAGATGCTTTCTTAAACGTTTATATTTATCATAATCAATCTATCAGGCAATTCCGATGACCGCTAGGTTTTTGTGGTTGTCGCGGAAGACTCATAGACATTCTTTCAAACTTTTCCGATCTTACGTCATCCTTAAAGCTTCCACAAAATATGGCTTGACTCTTTCTCCTCAGGAGAGTCATCCGATACGCTTCATCCAGACTATTATTCGTTGTATTCGGAGTATTCAGTCGGTCTGTTTAGCAGTAGTAGGATTATTGCCTTCCTTTCTGGATGCATTCGGATGACTATCGAAACCATCACAGCTACGACTTCTCAATTTGGAGAAGCAGGTGTTGCTTATCATAGGTCTCTCGGAAATCTGAACACCAAATCGTGTCGAGGCGTGCAAGCAGAGCAATTCGTATAAGATGACCCAGTTCCACCGCTTATGCTTGAACTAAACGTTTACCAGTAATAGCATGTGACTTATTACCATATGTAACGATGGGTATCAAACATGAATTAAATATAGGTAGCTTGCCTTCCAGACTCCGCTCAAGCTTACTCATCATGTTTTGGAATAATTGTCGTCGAACGCCGTTGGCGATATCAATTCACAAATCGATCTGGTCCTTCGGCCTTTCCTCACCGGATAAAACCAACAAAATCCAGTAAAATTTTTAAATCTGGTATACCGACTACATTCAATCTCATGTCTCTTTCCTCAAGAGTCCAGCAAATTTTACGAATAATATATAATAAATGCAGGAACCACCAATCAACGTCTTGGTCAAGCAACGATGCGACTATGTTTACAGCAAATATTAGGTTCAAAGCTTAAAAGCAGATGATGGCTGTTGTAGCCCTGCATCGTAAATTTACGACAAATCATGAGCTACGAATTGAAACCGACCACTTCACAGGAGAATCTTGTAATAAAGCAATGGTAAGGGAATTAATCAGGAATGAGGCATGAAACGTGAACATCGTTTCTAAGCGTATAGAAATGCCATATTCCGAAGAACACTAAAGACTTGAAATTGTATGGCAGGAAAATTTGCAGAAATAAAGATAAATTGTCACGAAACGCCCCACATCGAAACGAGTGCAAACTGTAACTCACAAATGCTTAACGAGTGTAACTCACAAATGCTTAACTCGGTCTACGCCAACGACAGTCATGCGATGTTTATTTGGATGACACGAACCCGCCTTAAAATGTCTTAGAGATACAGGCTCACAT